ATAATACAGCAGAAAAATGAGGCCTGAGCTTCCATCATAATCGTAGAACAGCAATGCTGACAGCTTCTCAACACTTTCAAATAGATTGCTAAATAATTAAATTCTTCCAAATTAGACATATGTAATGTCTAAGTAAAAGTGAATTTAGACACTTGAGTTCTACAGTTTGTCAGAGTCACCAGCAGCGAAACAATAACCCTACTTTAACAAAACGCATGAGGACAACAGGTCATTGTGCAGTAGCAGTGAGCTGACCTGAGCGGGTACATGCTGCATGTGTGCTTACAGTGTGTGTGTGTGTGTGTGTGTGTGTGTGTGTGTGTGTGTGTGTGTGTGTGTGTGTGTGTGTGTGTGTGTGTGTGCATGTGTTGTGCTCATATGTATCTTTGACTCAGGCCAACTGACTGGGAGTGTGTTGTCTGCACTGTGAGGGAACCAGGTGTACACAGCTGTCCGTCTGATCAGAGAACTTCAAATGCTGTTAGGGCGGCAGTCAGTGGGAACAGTCAGAGGAGAGCTGGCTCTTCACATGCTGTGCTAAAGCTGATCTCTAAACCCCCTGATATGAGTGGATGTGCCCTGCAGCCAAATATGGAGCTATACATCAGTACAGTAGAGTACAGTGAAGTCTTCCAATGTGTGTCGAGGCCCTCCAATATGACTTACAGATGAAATGACTCAATGCACATCTGCAGACAAGGCTGAGGCATCACTGATGGTGTGTTTCTTATAAAAACCTAACTGTGCTGAGCTTTGAAACTGGACAAATAGGATTTTTCTGAAAGCCCATTATATGCCAACATGTACAGAACAAACTGTTTTTCTATGGGTGACAAATGTTGACAAATTCTTGTGTTTCCCCCTGTTCTGATAAATGAAGTCTGAACCATCAGAACATTTACTTCCTTCCTTTAACACAGTAAACCCACTTGCTGTGCCAATAAAACATCCTGATATTAAGATATCATTCAAGGCTTTACCGCAGAGTGTTTCTTTGCTTGAGCTCCATTATACCAACAATCATTTTCTGCTACTCAGGGAACGTACAAAAAATGGCCCTGATGACAACAGCACAAAGACCTGGGAGCTTTCTCCACCAGTAACAGCCCCCCACCTTCTCCATCACTGGTTTGCCATATTGACCCAAGTAATGGTGATAATGGATGTTATTCACATCAATAGGAAGATCAAACAGTAAAAGGAAACCTTTTGCTCCTACAGTTCGTGTTCCCAAGTGCACGGCTTCAACCCATTACACTGTTCTACAGGGAGACACTGGATCAAAAATGGTGTTTCCATAAAAACACTGGCAGCTTTTCTTCTGCTTTCATGGTCTAACACTTAGAAACCCATTGGCTAATCATTAATGTGTGTGCATTTTCATTTTGCTCACTTTACCTCACTTTGCACATAAAACTTAAAGTGTCAACAACAATCAGTCCATTACAGTATAAGCAGAGGAAAGCAACATCACTGTGTGACTTTATCAACAAATCAGTCAGGAAATACTTTCTCCCTGGCACTATCACACACCATCCGATGATGGTATCACTGATGCGTAATTTTCAATAAATGTAGCTGTTCTTCATTTGGGTGTATAAGGTATAAAACCACGGAAACATACTGTGCACACAAGAACAGAAGTCTCCAGACTGAAACTGCTATGTCATCTAGACAGCAATATCGATTAGCCACCGGTTACACCAAACCAAACAAGAGTGGTCCATTGAAGATTGATGAAACTTTTTCTTCATTCAAAACTTGCAGAGCCTCCATTTACATCACGGTACTGTAATCCATTCACTTCACCATATTTCACAGTATAGTTCACTAAAACAGAGCCAGGTCACATCGCCCATGTTGATCAATTCACACATTTGCTTTGGTTTGACAGAGTTTTGACATACACTCTTGACAAAAAAAACAAACAAAAAAAAACCTTTGTACTTCCTCCAAAGCCAGAGCCAGACAAAGATAAACTCAAAGTACTGTCCTTTTCCTCACTATACAGCTCCACTGTACTCTAGCTTTCAGTGGCACAATATTCCCTTGCCTTTGTACTGTTTCCTTTCCAGGTTTAACTGGGGATCTGGATAATGTTTCACTAATCCTAACAACCGTAAATTCACCAAAACAATTTTAGACATCTCCGGATTGATGTTGCACTGTCACGGCCCAGATCAAAAACAGTGGTGGACTGCTCCTTTTCTGTGTGGTGTCCTGAGGACGCTGTTGCATGGGAACACATAAACAGAGTGTTTGAACAGCTCAAGGCTTTATTTCAGGACAAAGATAAGACACCATGTGCCCATGACAAATTTTCTCTGGACATGGACCTGGTTTTGGCACATACTGATTATTTCCATCAGTTGGTTACTAAGACACATTGAAGAATATGTAATTTTTATGCCAAATGTAAGAATATATGCTGCAGAAGTCCTTTGTAATGAATGAGAGTTTTATATTTGGTAACAAACAAAGTGAGAACAATGATTGAAGAAACAAAAATGTATCTTAGATCCCAGACCTCCACCAAATCCTTACAATGTCCAACCTGTCTCACAAACTAACAGCAGTTCATAGGCATGGAAAAGAAACAGTCACAGTCCTCGCTGTGGACATGTGCCGGAAGAGAGGTCTGAATTTAGGGACTTTCATTTCAGGCCAGCTCAGCTCTGCTGATCCTCTGCCAGATTGCCGAGCTTCAATTTTCTATGCTGCGGTCGAGACACAACGGGGACATTTATTGTCCGTGACCAGCTCGCTTCTTCTGAAGAGCAGCAGTTGTTGAAACTGAGGCTCAGTGCCTCAGCCGCAGCAGGGAGTGATGACCTTTAAATGAGCAGGGTCTAATGTGCCTGATCTTTGGCCCGGCTTGATTAGCTGATGTCACAGAAAATGAATAGTATCCTTATCGAGGGTCACCGCTACAATCCCACAGCATCTCCATCTTTCCTCTGATGTCACCACGGGCTGGAGACAAGAGCTTCCGCACCGACACAATAGCACTTATTCGCGCTCCAAGTGCACAAACGTTCATGTATTCAAACAGAGCGTCTTCGCAGATCCAGCAGGGCCTGAGTGGGTGTTAGCCAACATCATCAAATGCTTGAGATAATAACTATTAAAGACAATGAGGGGGAGACAAACTCACCACAAAGCCTTTTTTCCAACAGTGAACCAGTGATCCAGTGTGAAGTCTTTCTAAAACTGATTAGAGCTACATACGATTGGTTAATCAATCAATTAGTTGATTGACAAAACAATCAATCTGTAGGAATTTTTCCAAGTGAGTAAAGCAGAATTTGTTGTCCCAGTACTCAGTAGGTCTATAGAGAAGATATAATGTTAAGTTTCTTAAAGATAAATAGTATGTTCCACTAGTCAAGTGACAAAAAGTGTAACACAGAAGGCAGAAGAGATATGGATTGGAGTTGAAAGGGATAAAGCACAAGGACAACTTCAGGAGGTAAGGAAGCCACGAAATCAGAGGTCACAGACAATGGTCAGGCAGAACTTAAAACGGAGATCAGCACAATACAGAGAGGTAAGGAAAGGTTAATGTGGTCAATGACAAACAGGAATAAGGAGAGGTAAAGGCGTAGGGTGGGATAGGAGGGAAGAGGAAAGACAAAGAGGAAAGGGTTGGGGGGGGCATGTCTTACCTAAACAAACAAGTAAAAGCAAACCATCTCAAGTAGAGTCCTGTAAAATGAAGCTGTAATGTGGAGGTAGCGTGACCTTCTCACCCACGTTAACATCACATATAAATCTACACACATCTCTGAAAATAAACACACATCTGCACCTCACCGTTCACCTCCCAAGTATTTTTTTTTTTTTTTTTTTTTTTTTTTCACTATGGTCTCTCACAGCTGATTTAAAGACAGTCTAATTAACAACAAACAAGATGATAAACTGCACAGGTGAACATTCTTCTTTGCTTGCATCACACAGATTTCACAGAATGTAAATCTGTGCAGTGAGAGCAATATCTCACTCTGAGAATGTGTGACAGAAACATGGTGGAGCTATTCACCAGGCAAGAGCTGACGGAAAGCAGGCGGAGAGCTCCCTCACTACAACTGCACCTCTGTGCATGTCAGGGGCTAAAAATACATGCAGCAAACTATTCAAACTCACCAAAAATAACTTCATGTACCATGGAAATTGGCAAAGTGTGACATCTCATTTTGTTGTTTTTTTTATTTTTATTTATAGCTACCAAACAACACTGGTGTGTTTACTCACAACATACATGAAAACGCATTCCAATTAAGAAAGCAGGGGTGAAAAGGGCACATCCACCTCAAGGCTACCTAAATACCGTATAATATATAATACATGATCAGTTAGTGTTGCTAAGCCACAGCATTCAAATTAGTGTGTGGTGCTTTAAGTTAAAAAATAAAATAAAAAAAAACTATTTTCCATCTGAAAATCTACTTTGTGTGAGAAGAAAACATTTGAGCACATACATAAAGCCAGGGTTACAACAACAAGCAACTGCAGTGACAGGATGCTTTGCCAGCCTATGTTGACTTTGACTGAAAAATAATGGAAGCAAGAGGGGGCTGTGCATGATCCCATCTCTACAATTTACACATGGAGCTGCACCTGGGCTGGGGTGGTATCAGCTCTGCAAGAAGGTGTAGTTTCTGTGCAAGCAACAGTTGACTTTGGACCAGTTTTGTTGGCAAAGATCTCTTTAAAAAAAAAAAAAAAAAAAAAAAAACTTCATGGAAATCCCAACAAAAAATTTCGGTTGCCAGGAGGTAGCAGAGAGAAGCAAACCCAGACCGAACTCTCCCTACATCACATGCAGTTTCTAATTTCCTTTCGAGATAAACTTCTTCTTACTTTGTTTTCTTTCTGGGGGTGTTTATGATGTTTGTGATATTTCTTGGCACAAAAGTTTGCAAAGCCAACACGATACCCCACGTTCACAGTCCAAACTCCAAACCCTCGTGTTGCACGGATCGTGCTTCTCAGGCACTCACCTCCCCAGGTGTGAAAGAGGACCAGGAGTCCGACGAGCAGAAATCCAGCGTCCCGTACAGCCATGGTTGTTGATCAGTGCTGCAGCTGTCTGTGCTGGGGTGTGTGTGTGTGTGTGTGTGTGAATGTGTATGGAGGGAGCCTGATAGGGGACTAGTCCTCTTGGGAAACTGTATGAGACACAGAGAGAGAGAGAGAGCGAGAGAGCGAGAGAGAGAGAGCTGCGGTGTAGCGCAGGGAGGCAGATGAAGAGACAGGAGGTCTTCCACTGTAAAAAAAAAAAAAAGAAAAAAATGTCCGTCTGCACGAGTCATTCATGCGCACACTCGCAGCACAGTCGCTCTGAAATGCATCATATTTTCTCGACACTCGTTCTACTTTGAAAAACTCAGTCTTAGCTCTTCTCTGGCTTGTTAGTTAAAACAGCAGTTCTAAGCCCGAGTTCAAACTGGTGGTTATTTTTTTACAGTGTGCAGAAAGAGAGGCACTTCAGGGCGGAGATCTGCAGCGGAATACAGTATTCAGTTATAATTTACAGCACCCTTTTTTTTCTTTTTTTTTCTAGCAAGAGATTTACAGGATACATGTTCTCGCCAAGGTTACAATGGCTTATGTTTTCTCAACAGGAAATCATGACTGGTAAAGGATGACTGCCTGAAGCGAAGCATTGGCGTGAGCTTGGTGCGAAAGACAAGGTGTGGCAGTTGTAGGTGCATTTATCATTCAGGACTGGGGCTCAGTTTTAATCATTCCAAAGAACATGGTCTAAAGTTCATGGCAAAAGCAATCAATGAGCAATGATTGAAAATGATTGCTCATTGATAAAGTTAGAAACAACAGAATATCTTTCTGCTTTTGTCTCATGCAGGGCACAGCCTCCATCTGGGATCCACAAAAGTTTCAGCCACTGATTTCTTGCATGTTATCGCAATAGCAGCATATTTTCCCTCCTCTGCTAACATTGATGCGGCCTGCAATGTCCTCCACCCTGTTACAAACCGGCTTCAGACACAGCACCCTCAGTCTTTATGCCAACGTAAAAGAGGCATTCAACTTAGCACCTGGTGCACCTCCACCCTGTGTACGGACCTCTTGTACGCAGGGAGCCAGCAGTCACTAACACAGTGGAAAGATGGTCCGATGAGGCTGTGGTGGCTTTAACGATTGTTTTGACTCAACTGTGTGAGAAGTACTTTGTGATGATGATGGGAAGGACGTTGGCAATCTTACACACTGCATAATGGACTACATAAACTTCTGTGTGGAAAATGCTATCTGTACGACCAATGGAGAAACTCCAACTCAGTCCCATGGCATTCGGCTTGACCAATGGTGAAAATATGATCACTCTACTGTGATCACTCACTCAGTCAGTCATTCACAGTCCAGCCAAAAACTCTTCTCTGCAGAGCCTCATTTACGTCCAAGAGACGTCCATGACGCAGAGCAATGCAACATACAATCTTCCACAAAGAATGCTCCGACCTGTTGTGGGCTATATTGTAATGCTTCACCTGTCTTATCCAAACATCTGAAGCGCATCTTCAGCACACTCTGCTTGTAAGTAACAAACAGAGCTTACACACGTTTTACACTCGCCTCTGTTGCTGCATATAAGTATCTTGATAATGAGCCCTTAAAATAAATAATTCTTTGTTGGTCAGTTGCTTTCTGCTGCCTCGAGATAACAATGTGCCCAACCACACCTCATTTTAAATGGTGTGGTCAGATGCGTGTATTTGGTATATTAAACAACATGGCTGCTGGATGGAATAATGACAACTGTGTCGGTCTGAAGCTAGCAAACACACTTGTCTTGTACTTTGTGCTTCTTTGCGCCTGGTGTAAGGTAGGGCCCATGGTATGTATCATCTGTGTGTGCTTGGTGACCTCGAACTAATTTAATGATGATATCAGGGCTGTTGTTTGCAGTGGTGTGTTGCTGGTAGCAGATGCAGGCAGGATCATAATAATCACAATCAGATTTATTGGCCAAGTACATTAATACACACAAGAAATTTGTTCAAGCAACACAGACAATATACATATTATTTATAGACAATACAGCTCTATAAAAGACAACTAATATACATGAAGTGCAAGTGTGTGTTGTTGTGCAAACAATGTGCATCATCTATGGGAATGAAATTTTGATGTTTCAGTATTTGTGCAGTACAGTATTTATAGATGTGAATGGCCCAGCTAGCCCACTAGTATAAGTGTACAGGGTTCTTTAGCGCCTGTCGGAGGGGAGGAGTTGGAAAAGGTTGTGTCCAGGGTGCAAGGATGATTTTTCCTTGCCCATTTCCTGGTTCTTGAAGAGTACAAATCCTGGAGGGTGGACAGAGCACCGCCAGTCACTTTTTTCAGCTGCCTTTATTGTTTGTTGCAGTCTGTTCCTGTCCAGTTTTGTGGCTGCTCTGAATCAGACTGTGATGGACATGATGCACCAGTAGCTGGGCTTCTTTGAGGATGGAGTTGATGTTGGTAAGATAGGAGAGGAAGATAGGATAGGCAGAAGCACAGGGAGGGATGAGGACTAAACATAACTCCATCCTGCATGCTCCATAGTGAACGGATGCAGCTGCAGAGTATCTTTAGTCTCCAACTCACTGTCATTCAAAAAGCTAAAACGATGTCTTGTTTTGGTGATAGTCATCGGACTGTCAGGACAGCCTGAAGCAGGGCATCTCATTAGTAAGTTATAAGTTTTAATGCAGATATTGCATACTGTGCATCTGCATCTGCATAGTGTGGACTGTGAATAAATATTAGGGTGAGGGATAGTTTTCTTTGGGCAGTTACACGTCAAGATACGATACTTCCTGAAGTTGTTTTGTTGTTTTTGAGACAGTTTAAGCAGATTAAATCATGTCACATACATTTCTCTTATAGCATGTCAGCATACGCCATTCAGCTGAATTTGCCCTCCATCAATAACTGTTGCACAGATAATCTTTATCTATATCTAGGAACTCATAAAACTGTGAATATGACTCCCTCTGTGTAATAGATGCCAAGCTTAATATGAACATAATAAGGGTGCTGAATCAGACTGACTCCCTAAACAAACCATGGAAAAACACAGTGCTTGCCAGAGGACAAAATCTCATTTACATGATGCTGACCTTGTGCGCTTTGGCTGCGGAGTCCGCTCTGTGATAGGTAAAACAGTTTGTAAGAGCATATACATAGTTTTAACTGTCAGGGTTTGGATAAGTGCAGTGAGGACATTTTCTCAAAGAGGAGAAAATGACACAAAATACTGTGCAGTTGACCATCTGGCCAGATACCAGGAGGTTCTGGCTTGCTTGATATAAATCAACGTTATTTAAAAAATTTAGTCCGTCCAAAGTGCCACAAATTGAGCACAGTACATTTACACAGGAAAATTAGCCATGCAGTTAATAAATTAGACTACAGTTTAAATGATTAAAATGATTGCAACCTGATGGATTAATTACAGATAAAGCCCAGCTTAGAGCTATCAGACCTTTGAGCCTGATACAAAATAAATATTTGAGAGTAACAAAGTCTCATGATGATATTGACCATTTGATATTTAACGTAAACACATACTGTGACTCAAACATTTTTGATACGATCCCATAAATGTGTTAACTGATCTCGGATGTTTTTGAAGTGGCAGTAAATTGTGCAGACTGGAGGGTTGTTCCACTGTCTGAAGCTGCAACAATACTCTTCATTTTAAACCTGGTGTTCGGCACAGCCCGGAGCGCTTCATCAGAAGACCTGAGTTACCAATGCGTGTTACAAACATACAACACTTCCTCACACTCCGAACAGACAGGGATAAAAGCTCAAACTGTCAGTGCAGTCAGAGCACTAATTTCATCTTAGTATTATTGGATCCCATGTGAACTGTCACAGTCTGTGCAGTTGGACGCACATCAAAGATGGATAGGATGTGTGAGGCACACTTTGTAACCTTTAATGCTGGAAAACACCGCTGTGTCTGCCAAGTGGACTGCTTCTGAGTGAAAGGGCCACATAGGAAGGAGCACGCAATGCTACTGAAGTCACTGATGCGATGGAGTCCACAGAGGAGACAAGGTCTGCTTCAGCTGCACAGTCAAAGTCCTCAGAGGAAGAAGCTGTTTTCCAGAAGTATGGCACAGTCGTGTTTTGTTTTGTTTGAGCCTTTTCCACGTTGTTGTGGTTTGATATGTCTGGAAAAGAAAAAGAGAGCATGCTGTCCAACAAAGAATGGATACCTTACCTTATGTGCTTTCTTTAATTCGGGTTTGATCAGGACATTTGACTACAGAAATGATCATGTTTCAAAAATATTATCTTTAGGTTTGTCAAAAATCTGGGATTTGTTTTTCTGTTTTCTCATTTATTTTCATTGATCTATTTCAAGCTGTGGTCTTTAAATATGTTTTTTCATTTGTTTTTATTTGGTGGCAACCGAATAAAAAGGCCGTGAGAGAGCTTCAGGGATCGTTTTCAGCTTATTGCTTATTGCTGCTTTTGTCTACCTCTGTGTGAAATCATAGACTCGTTTAAAAAATGAGTACCAATTCCAAGTGGTTAAATCTGCAGTCATTATTGTGAACTGCATATGAGCCATAAAACGCTGTAAAATTTAACAGATGTAGCTGAGGAGGCACGGGCTGAGCAAGCAGTCAGTTGTTTACCTGTCGAATAGTGGCTGCATCAGCAGATGTGTCTGTCCAGTACCTTTAAATAAAATTCAAGCCATTAAGTGATTCTTTTATGTTTTTTTATATCTACTAGTGATGCCCTTTTTCTGACTCTGTTTTGGGGAAAACAAACATCATAAAATAAAACTTGGTCATGATCAAGAAGAGGGTCCAATTGTCTTGTTAATTCAGCATTAAAGGAACAGACAGCTCAATTATGGGAACATCTAAAGCTCACTAACACATTGTTTTGGTCTTTGTTACTTCTCTTGGCTGTTTGACCTTCACTGTGCAGAATGATGTATGTTCAGATTGTGATACTAAAAGGCTGTTTTCAAATTCATCTGCTGAAAGTGGAAAGTTTCTCTGTGCTCATTTAAAATCTGAGTTTTGTTGCAGAGATTTGTGATGCACAACTAGTCTGAAAGCCATTCCTGGTCAAACAACAGGCAGCTTACACAAGTGTGATGTGGAAACTTGAAGCTTCCAGTATACTGTATGTACATT